AGTTATGAGTACATCATATTTTGATATATTCACTGAGAATGGTTACTATCTTGTTATTGAATACAAAAACTTAATGCATGTGAATATATTAGGAAAAACAATATATACATGACTTGTATTTCAAATTATCAACAGTGTGAAGAGCAACATGTAATCTTTTAATTGATGGGTACTTGAAATTTTCAGTGATATTTGAGAAAATTATATTAACCTGAACTAATAGACCCTTTTCATAAATGGCTGCCAACTATATATTCTTTTGCAAGTATTAAAATTAGCCTGACTAACCTCGTTTTTGAGTAGATAATTCAAAAGAACTTTTACACCCAAACGAGTTTAGTGAGGCTAATTTAAATGCATACAAAAGAATTTTAAATTGGCAGCCATTTATGAAGAGGGTCTATATTAAATGTACTTTGTGAATAGGACCTAAGATTTGACCATACCTGCAGTACATGCCAGCATAAGAAAAAGCTATCATTTTGGGTGCAAAATGGTTTAAAGCTGAATGAAAGCCCTCCAGGCAACTTGTTTTAGCAAGAGGGGAAGCTTGCTTTATGCCTTTAACTAGAGCATTATTTGTAAGCGCCTCACATAACCGTTCATAGACAACACTACCTGTGGAAGAAATAAACAGTCTTTACTCAAAGCCCTTTTAGGTATTCAATTGTCAATTACAAGAACCATGTAGGGTTTATTTCGTACATTGCTACAAATGATTACACTCACTTGGCCAATATCCAGCCATCTTGACCTCACACTTGGTCAATAACCCATACGTATTGAATTCTTGTACTCTTTTGTAATATGTAGTACTGTGCCCCTTATAAAAAAAGAAAAACCCAGTTTACCCCTTTAGCTACACCATATCAAGTAGTTATATTGCATTTTTCAGAACCTTTGAAAGATTAAAAAAGGACATTTAGTGGCATAACATGCTTAAACTTATGCTGCATGAAGACCTATAGTCTGGGTGTATTTTGAACTTACCCTTTGATACTTAAAGTAAGTGTTGAGGGAGACACAACCAAGACCCATGTGCAAAAACATCTTGAAAACCTTGGTTGCAGAACCTCCAGCAAGGAGAATTGACAGTGATAGGAGAAAGTTGCCTGCTGGTATTTTCAGACCTGGCATCTGGGGCTGGCTGTACCAGATGTCCTCTTTATTGCATTTTGGATTGTTGCAGTATGTTCTCACAATCGCCTGTGTCCCATTTCCACTGGCCTCTACAGTAGGATTATCTGCCTTGCAGGTGCGGCACAAATTGAATAGAAGAAGCAGCTGAGTGAGGAAGACAATATGCTTTGGCTCTGTTCTGATGTTGGTGTTCTTGACTGACAACCTATAATAGATTTAAAATTCACTAACTGTAAAAGTTATGGAAACTATAACAATACATAAAAAAAATGTTCTCCTAAGACCACCAGTCATATAGCCAAACCACAAGTGTCATACTGTAACCAAAAACACTTATTTCATGAAATATCTGGACTGCCCCCTTCCAGTGTCATACCATGTCGTATTAAACTACCAGTACTTATTAATATCATTATTATTATGATGATGATGATGATGATGATAATGATGATGATGATGATGACGATGATTATTATTATTTTAATATAATACTTTTATTCATTATAAAAAAATATTACCGATTAAATTTTTCCCCGCTATCCTTATCTGTTTCTGTTCTGTTATCCTCATCTGTTGCTGCAACCAGCAGCAAGGCAAACTGCAGGCATTTCCTTTGCACGCAATCGAGAAACTACGAGTGAAGATAAGTGGAATTATGTTGATTTCACTGAGATCGCGGGAAATAGGTTCTGGAATTGACATCACTAGTCCCATTCCCTCCGATTGTTGCTTCACTCGGACTTGAACCAAAATGGCGTCTTTTTAGGCGGGATTTTCCGCAATTCAAACAATCACAGAAAATCGAGGATTTAACCAAATTAAAAAAATTTTTCGAACACGTATTCTGGATAATACAAAGATTTATTTAAGAGAGAAACATTTTTAGGGGTTAGGTGCACTTGACATGAACATATCAAGTATCACAACAGTCAGACTCCTCCGTGCAATAACCTTAACTGCAAGGAATAAAACAGCGGACTGGAAGTGTAGAATTTGTAAATTTAAAAATCTGTTTTTTGCAAAACGAGCTCTTTGAAGACTGTAACGATATGTAACTTTTTTAATTTCTTGCGATTTTTTGACACTTTTTGAAGATACAACTCAATGCAGTGATGATTTTTAAACAACAAGTTAAAGCCGAAAGGTCAGAATGTGGAATACTGTAAAAACACTTTAAACAATCGCAAAACAAAGTCTCGAAGCGTTTTAGCTTGTTTGTACAGCACACGAGCCAGTGTTGGGTTGACAGACACATCGCATCTCTACAGGTAATTGAGTGTCCCCTATACTTGTTCTGAAAACAGTTTCACCCTTATGTAATTAGCCTTTTCACGCATCACAAAAAATTTGAAAAACAGCTTGACGTTCACAGAAAAAAGCAAGCAATCACGTTTCACATAAAAATGCAAAGGCTAAACCATGTTTCACTTAAAAATACAAATTCTATTCCTGGTTCTGATACTTTTTTATTTTAGAATCCACAATTTTTTGAGATTTTTGGGAAAAAATAGCACTGTTTACATGTACTTTGATGCATTATTACATCCAAAGAGAGATGTCCAAATAATTTTTTTTCTTGCAGCATCTTACAGAGGGTCTAGAAACACTAGAAAAGGTTTATAATGCAGAAGGAGTCAGGTTACCAAGCAATGAAGATGACAATATCAAGAAAATATGCAAATGTTACTCAGAAAGACAAAAGAGGTCACAAAAGAAAGCCATGTTAACACTTTGTTGACATATTTGCGTAAATATATCGAAACGATGGTTGAGCAGACGTCAGTAAAAGCTGGATAGAGTGTGGATACTGACAGAATAACTCACCTTTTCCGCAGAACCCTCAATGTTGATGCATCGAAATGGCGTCTGAAATTCGTCTGTAATAACCTCGAGACAGACTAGATTCTACGCCCTCCTGGTTCACTGCCGCTGTTGTTAGTTCTCAGTCCTCCAACCGCAAGCGCGTCGAATAGGCCGGTTTTGCATCTAGTTTGGTTTTACGAGCTTTATGACGCTAAAATCTCCAAAGAAAAGTGAAAAATTATCCCCGCAAAGGTCATTGGTTCACAAATCACGCGAAAGTAAATGCATATTAATTTAACTGATCACGAAAAAATCGAAAACTAGTTTCCCAAGGACTTACGATTCATGGAAAAATAAATCCTCATTCACGCTCCACGCAAAGCAAAAATGCCCATTCACGCGTCACGAAAAAAGTATAGGGGACGCTCGTAATTGTGTCTTTGGCTTTTTTTAACGTTATGGGTCGTATTATAACCATCACTGTTCTACTTTTTGTATTTCTATTTGATAAAATGAAAACTGGACCATGCCTGGCGGGTACAGGTCACCGGTCATTGTTTTACCAATACTGGAACAACCTTAAACCTTTACTAATACTAGCCTTAAGCCTAAACATTGTCTTAGTGTTGTACTTAAGGCCTAAGGTTAGCATTAGGAAGAGGTTAAGGTTGTTCCAGTATTAATAAAACAATGACCCATGACCTGTGTTTTAGACCGGGGGGACCATGCCCAACGTTGTTTTCGGGTGAACCTATGTATTTGTTTGTCAAGGTGAGCATTGTTCAATAGGAATCGTGCTTGCTCTTGTTTGTATACAAGAGAAATAACTGTGTTAGATTAAAAAAGATAAAGCTTTAAAGATTTCCTGTAGTACGTGATACATTCTTGTTTCTTCAATGTTGAGGTCCCAATCTTGAGTGTATTTTTAAATTTAGCCTGCAGAGCAGGCGAGATTTTTTCGAGCGAGCGTTCACATCGTAAAAAGTTTAGCCGCCATCTTGAATTTTTCATGCAGTGGAAGCCTGGGGAGAGAAGGAAAGTTTTACCAAGGGGGTGAATGATAGGCAAGAGGAAGGATAGGGGTGGGGGAATATGGCGGTCTAAAAAGGCGGTCGCAAGGTTGTAACGCCAACTCGCCCCAATAAGACGCCTGCACTGCAGGCTACTTCCCAATGTGCAAATTTCCAAGCTACAGCGTGTCAAAAATGCAGCCTTTATCTACTTATTATGAACATACCCAAGTACTCGCACATAATGCCAGCTCTCTAGCAACTTCACTGGCTACCCATTGCTTATCAAATTAAGATTACGATTCTTAAACTTACCTTAAAATCAATTTATGGACTGGCATCATCTCATCTTAGTGACTTCATAAAAGTCAAGCAAAAGAGCTCATGCTTGTTACACTCTAATAATAGCCTACTATTAGAAGTTTCACAGGAGACAATGCACCCAACACTTGGCAGCAGGTCTTTTACTATTGCTGCACCGGCCCAATGGAACAGCCTCCTGGCTGACCTGTGTGTTGTCACATCACTTCAAGTGTTTTTTAAAAGCAAACTTAAGACATTTTTGTTTAGGTCAGCATTTTAATGTATTTTTGGTGTATTTCTTTTTTATTTCCCATTTATAAATAACTTTACCAATATATATTTGTCTTAGTTAGTCTTCGATGAATTTTTTGTAAAGTGGTATTGATCAGTGTATGTAAATAATGCTAAAAAAATTATCAAATTAATGCTGTTATGTTAAAACAGCATAATAGTCATTAAAGAAAATATCCTTAATATTTCACCAAGTATCATATTTTAGATTTTTGGACACTCTCATATTTTGCTACTCTTTAGCAACCTATTGCCCTCGACAGAAACTTTGGGGAGACTGAGTGCCAGCTTTTGGCACTAGCATTACTGGGATTGTGGGAGGTGCAGTGGCCTCATGGTTAGTGTACTTGTCTCTGGATTCAGTAGCTATCATAGCTCACACTGGTTACCCAATTCATCACAGAGCTCCTAGTGCCAAAGGCTCACCTTTAATCTTCCCAAAGTTTGTGTCCATGGCAATTAGTTCAAAATGATTTGTGAGGTTTTGGTGTTCATGGGAATGGATCAACAATGTGTGATCCCAGATAATGCCTATTCCCCCCATGGAGGGGACTGTCTGATTTCCAATCCCAATGAGGATTATAAATATTTTCCCAAGAATAATAATATCTATTTGAACTTAATTCCTGCTGTTTCAAACTGTTTTTTCCTCAAGGGTTCCAATTAACTGGGTTCAACTGTACCAATATTTCATAACCAAAGAACACAATGCGCATAAGTCATTACATGAATGAGCTGGCTCCAAGAGCCCTTTGATTTAAATCGTGACCTATTAATTTACAATTACTTTGATATACTATTTTCTTACATAACTTTCTAGATGGTTGTTATTAACTCAGTCTTACATTCTTAATAAATATGTTTACACAAAAGGCTGAAGGCACTGTTTAATTGCCTGCTTAAAGGGAGTGTGCATAGTTGTGCCACCATCTGGCATCATCAATTCAAGCGATGAGCACTCAAGAGCAGTGTTGTGGGGTCTAGGTGTTCCAGTAGGAGGGTTGGGATTGGCAGTCAAGTGGCTGTGAGGCAACCCAAACATCTCAGCCATCTGACAAACCATGGAGTACTTTGTCATTGCTTCTGTGCTGCTCCAATGCCATATTCCAGTCACAGAAAAATCGTTGATTCGTTTATTGGCAATGAAACTGCAGACTGCAGCAACATCATCCACCAGAGTGGGAAAACGGATTTGATAATCATCCATTTTGGCAGGCTTGTCAGTTTGCTTGAGGGCATCAAACAACACTAGAGTGATAGCAAGACAATAATTTTAATGTCCACTGTCAAAACAGGAAAGAATTCATATAAAATGTCCTCATAAACTAAAAGGATTTAGGTATGCCTACAGTCCTATGTATGTAAATTATCAAATTATCATCGTAAAATACCAGGTACATGCATAACTTGACCTCAGCCACCAAAAGTAACAATATTGCTGCCCAAACTAGGAACTCTAGATCTCCAGATTTTGGAGCTTTCAGGATACTGCTTTCAGTTAAAAATCCAATAGCAAAAGAGACAACTCTTCATCTCTACTCCCCACACCTCACCCATCCTTCCTGCACAAGAACTACATGTATCTGTCAACTTTGCAGAACATCTTGTCTTGCATGCTAGAAAAATATATTTGTAGATCCCTCTAAATCAAACCACGTATCTTTTAAAATGGGTCAGAAATGATACCCTTTAGTACAGGTCATATCTATAAAGCATATTAGGAGGAGTACCTCCACACTAAAAGAGGTCATGTCCCCCTAGGCCTCGCACCCTTGCAGCTATAAAGTGGTGTCCAACTATTTTGCACACCAGACCCCAGTTCTTCGAAGGGTGGATAACGCTATCCACCAGATAAATCGCTATCCCGTGGATGAGTGTTAGCAAAAGTCCGAAGGTGCCCGTACGCCTATCCTCCCCCCCCCCTCCTACCTCCCCCGGGATAACACACCTGTCACAGCACTCTCCTTAAGATACTCCACTTTTCCGTAAAGGATTGGAACCCGAAGGATCCCCCCATCGGAATTACAGGCCTGCATAACCTGTTCTCCTGCCAGCTTACTCTTGCCATACTTGTTCAAAGGGTTGGCTTCGTCGAGCGGTTTGTACGGTGGACTCGAGCCATCGAACACATAATCAGTGCTGATATACAGCATGAAGTGTTCCGGAGCCCCTGCATCACTGTTAAGCTCGTTGATTGCTGATGCTAATGTTTTTGTCACACCAACATTCATTTTCATGGAAGTTTCCTCGTCATTTTCGACAACGTCTGGTCTCCTTTCGGCTGCCGCGTGAATCAAAATGTGTGGTTTGAAATGCTTCACAACACGCTTTGTTTCGTCAAAATCAAGCAGATCGACCTTCTTTAGAACATCTGTGGCTCGAGAGTGAGCCAGTCCTAACACGTTCCACTTATCAGAGTTGGAGAATTGCTTCATAATGGCCCGTCCAAGGAGGCCAGAAGCTCCGGTGATAAGGACCCGAGGTTTGGCCGCCATGTTGAATTTGAAGTGGTTACCAGGTTACCCGTCTACAAGAATGTTCCACGTCAAGAGGAAAGATTGCGTGACGAGCCCAAAGTGTCCTCGCGAGTGAACATTTGACTTTTCAGGGGGAATGGGCGATTTGAAAAGAAAAAGTAGTCTCCTTCAAGCATACTTGTACCGAAAAAAATTCACAGTTTTTGTCTGTCCGTAATCTCCTTATCGCGACATCGATATGATACTCACGGTCACGCGTTTACCGCGTGATTCACGTTCACCGCGATATTCACGGTCACGCGTTTTGCATGTGACATCGACCAAGATGAGGTCACTGTGATAAATGCTTTATTTTTTGCTGCTACCGGCCGTTATGACGGGACCCAACAAGGTCGAACCAGCTGCTCACGGTTGCAATTCTTGGCTTTCAGTTTGGACTCTATCATGTCGATCGCGTTATTGAGTTTTCTACGTTATAATCGGTCTTGCTTCATTGTTATATGCACAAAACGACTGCCGAAAGCATGCTACATGGAGAAAGAAATATCATGTATTCACACGCCCCGTGAAAAACAAAGTCCTGCACCAACATCTACATTTTTAACCCGAATATGCTATCAGGACGGTTTGCAAGTAATACGAACCGTCCATGAAATGGTTAAAAATGCACGAAAATGCATGAATGGGTTAAAAACAAAAATAACAATGCCTCTACCAAATCAACCCAAAGTCAAATGGTTCACAACTTACTGAGGGCCGTCGATAAAACCAGGAACATGGAACATCCCGGAACATCGAATAATTATAACAATTATGCGAAAAATATGTAAAATTAAATATCTAAAAATTAAATCAAACAAAAATAAAGATCAGCTTGGAAAATAAAAATAAAACAAAAACAACAAAAAAGAAGGAAGAAAGAAAGTAAAATGAAAGTGACTGCAATGAGTGAAGGCTAACAACTAAGAAGAGTAATCCATTTCTTCCAGTCGTTCGCCGTCAGTCTAATCACCTGACTGTCCTTTATTCCCAGATGTCGTTCTTCACAGAAATCCAAGGTGGTGGCGTTCGAACTCCTTAATCAGACCGAAAAATATGGGTACACGAGTGTGATTTCTTTATTCAATTCATTACGTCGACACAAAGATATGCGTGAACACGATTTCTCATGAAGAAATAGTTTCTCCATGAGATAGAAAAAGAAACTCTTCGGCATTGAGTTTCTTGTCTAAACTACAATGTTCGAACTGCTCGAGCTCTGATGACAGTGTAAACAAATACAAACACAGAATTGGCGACGCGCGCGCTGTCTTGCAGGGTCGCTGTTGAAAACTTTATTGTCTCAAGAAATATTTGTTACAGGTGTTGGCGATCTGAAATTGAATTCTAAGTGTCGCCAACAGTTCAAACGCATTTCCTAGAAAATGCTTTGTCCAGTACAAGTAATAGTTAATTAATTGAAAATACTTTTACCGCTAGTTCAACTTCACGTGCAGATCGTTATCTGATATTCGATCAAACTTAGTTTTCCATCGAGCCATTCGAATGCCACCAAAGTAGACCAGTGCGAAATACGCGCGTGAACGCGCTGATCTAATCTTTGATTACTACTAGTTAATAATAGCTTGCTTGTTACTCGGACTTTCGGAAAAACCGAGTCTGCACTTGGTGGGTCATAGTGCCAGGCGCTCCTAGGGGAGCAGCGCGAAAACTGGGGATAATAAATAACAGCATGAGGACGCAACAGTGACAAAACTATGGTTACTGACTTAACAAGCAACTGTATGATGCTCAGACGAACACCTCAGATGTTGAAGAAATCGGGGATCAAAATAGGAGACGCAATGAATTACCTGGCATTCATCGTTTAAATCGTCCATGTTTGTGTTGAAAAACAGACTGCTGTAAAGCGACGTGGCGCAATTTGTGGGAAAGAAGAGGAGCCTGCACTCATTGTAATCAGTTGAATGAAAACCCAACGCTCCCTACCCCTCCGCTACCGACTCCCCTATCCTCAATAATAATTTTTCATATTTCGAGCTGATACCAGTTTATATTTGTTTATTTTAGTTTCGAAAATTTAATTTTACACATTTTGTGGAACAAAAGAGAAGATTGTGAGTTATTTACCGTACACAATCTCAACAAGGAAATTCAGAGTTAGCCAACATCAATCACCTTAGCTGATACTGTATAAAGGAGCGAAACACAGTAGGCATAGGCGTACGAGCTGGGGTGAGGGGAGGGGGGGGGG